TGCATCAGCCCTCCTTTAGGTCATCCTGAAACCCACCCTGCAGGTCGAGGCAGGTCTCAAAATATCATCCTCCAATAAAAGAACCCAGAGCTCTTCAGAAAAATAGCTGATTCCTGGGTAAGACATAAACAAATACAAGGGAACACCTTGGAATGTGGGAAGGGGAATGTACCTCCCCAAGGTGGAGTGCGTGGCTGGGCCCCCCGAGCCCCAGCACCGCTGGCTAGAACGCAGCTGGGACAGTGCGAGCAACAACGTGCTGGATTATAACCGGAAACATAAAGGAGGTGCCCTGAGTCCACGCTCCCATGGGGTCTCCTCTCCCTCTGACCTTGTGCCTCGGGGCCTGTGGTGGGTGGGGTGCTTGCTCCTCAGCTGCTTTGACCCTCCCTCTTCCCTAACACCCCCTAATCCATCGTCAGATTGGAGCCCCCACCCCCTCATTGCAGGGACCCCCATTTCTTTTAGCTCCCGCTCGCTGTCACTCTCCCCAGGGTGCTCCCTCCTTGATCCTCGGTGCTTTCAGCACAAGCAGACGTGGAAGGCTGAACAGACGTCTAGCCCAGTCCCTGGAGCCGCTGGGCAGTGTCCTTACTCGCAGAGACTTGGGGTGGTGCATTGCGGGTTCAGGACCTTGGACAGGGGGCGCTGGGTGAGTGGGCCGGCAGTCACCGCTGGAAACGGAAAGCAGAGCCGTTTCTCCGGCTGGAGTGGGAGACGCTGCAGGAGAGATGAGGGCCAGGAGGTCAGGGAGGTTCCACGGGGGAAGGATCGGTGCCGCCGGGGCACGTTCCAGGGCCCAAGTCGTCCTCTAGGAGCTCAGGGGGCTCCAGCTGACAGCCAGCAGGGAAAGGGGACCTCAGTCCTGCTCCGCAGGAATCTGCATTCAGACAACCAAGCGCCGGGCTGGGCAGTGGTGCCTCCAGAGCCCCGTGAGGAGCAGGGACCTGCCGCGCCTGGTTCTGGCCCCGAGAGGGCCGGGGCTGTGTAGCCTGCAGCCGCGAGATAATGAATGGCCCCGCGTAAAGCCACTCGGTTGGCGGGGATTTTACAACAGGGACAGGGCACGTCCAGCGGGAAGGGTGCTCTCAGCCGGCCGCTCACGCCCCTGAGCTCCGCTCCTCCCTGACCTTCCGCGGCTCTCCCGGGCCCACTCCCTTGCCGTCCCCTCGCCCTTGTCATTGCCAACAGCCCGCCCTTCCACCGCCGGCATTTCCCGCTCCCACGCTCTGCCACCACCTCCCCGGCATCCCCGCAGGGCGGCCTAAGCTCTGGAAACCGGTGCGATGACGGGATCCGTAATGTAGTATTGGCAGCCCAGGCCTGGCTCTCAGGGGCTCAGCCCCAGGGCGTAGTCTAAGGGAGAAGCTCAGCGTCGGGGAAGGTGCATGGCCACCTGCCACTCCACACCCCAGACGCATTTCCAAAAGCGTTAGTGAGAATAATTCCCGGTTGGCTTTAAGAGAATTATTTCAAAAATCCAGAAAAGTCTACTTTCATGAAGGACCACACCCACAGAGAGGGTGGACAAAGCGTGGTGTCCAGTGGCTTCCACAGAGCGAATGTCGGGGTGGACACCGCCCACGGCGCTCCCAGCACCCCAGGGCCCTCGGATCTTATTTGGTCACACACTGCCCCCACCCCAGTAACCACTCCCTTCGTGTCTAACACCAGAGATGAGTTCTGTCAGATTCTGAGCGTGAGATATTCCAGGGGCACCCTCTGTGCCTGGCTCTCACTCACTGTTTTCAGGGCCTCATTCCTGTGGCTGTGTGAGGCCGTAGCTTATTCACTCCTATGGCTGCAGGGGGTCCCACATGCGAACAACCACACTCCTGGCCCTCTACTGCTCACGGGCATGTGTGTTGTACCCGGATTTTACAAGTCACGCTGCTGTGAATAATCCCTTCACATATGTTGGCACACAGATGTGTGCATGGCTGCTGCGTATATAACTGAGAGGAATTGCTGAGAGCAAATGTTTGGGTGAAGAGAGTACTGTCTAAGCATTTGTCAAAGTATTTGCATCAACTTACTCTCGCACTAACAATACATGACATAGAATTAGTCCAAAGTCTTGCCAACAATTGGTTTTGTCTGAGTTTTTCATTTCGCCGTTCTGGGAGGGGTGCAGTGACATCCCTTCTGGCTTAATGTGAATTTCCTGACTAAAAATGTTGAGCAATCTTCATAAATTTATGGGCCATGTAAACGTCCTCAATAGGATGATGGGCTGGACTCATTGCTAATGACTGAGTGGGACTCCAGGGCTGTGCTTGTATTTTTTAAATATGTATGTATGTGTGTGTTTGTTTTTAGAGGGAGAAAGGAGAGGGATAGAGAGATAGAAACATCAGTAAGAGAGAGACTGCACCCTAACCGTCCGGAGAGAAGGGTGAGCCCTCTGGGCAACTCACTCTCCGGTACCGGATCTGAAAATCCAGGTGGACTCAGTCTCCTGACCCCAAGAAGGGGGTGTTCTGACCCTGGTCGCCTTTCCTGCCTCCTGGTGTGTGCGAGCCCCAGCCCGAGGGGAAGCGAGGAGGCCCGCGGCCCAGGTGCCTGTGCGGCAGCCTCTCCTTCCCCTTCTCCGGGTGAAGCGGAGCCACCCGCGCACCGCCTTCCTGGTGGTCCCGGTGCAACTCCGCTGCCTCGGCCGCCTCCTGCTGGCGCCGGCTTCACCCCGCCCTCTGCCTGGAGAGACAAGTCCTACCCATTAGTTCCCTTTTTGGAACCAGCCACGCCCAGAGATGCAGGGGCTGTCCTGCTCATGACTCTAATAGTTGAGGAGGGAGGCTCACGGAGTGCACGCTGCTTCTACGCTGCTCCTTCTGCGAATCTCTCCGCCAGGCCTTCCCCCCAGGATCCAGGATGGTGGCCGGCAGGCTGCTGGGGCCCCCTGCATGCC